CCCCCCCCCCCCCCCCCCCCACACCTTCCCCCTCCCAAAAAAAAGCATGACTGTTGGCATACTCGAAGTCAAGCAACATGGAGATCGTAAAAAGAGTTGCTGATTTTGCCGTCAACCAGTGCGAGGTCAATACGAGGCTGGCGATGATGGACGGGTAGAGGTGTCATTTCAAAAAAGCATGACCGTAAGCAAGCCTTATCTTCTTATGATCGAAATTCTTTCGTTTGTGTAAGGCACCCGATGCCAATTTGGACTTTTACGACAGCACATGAAAGCGAAAGAAGACGAGCTTGGCACTCAACTGGAGAATAACAAAAAAATTGAAATGAAGGAGTTCCAGAGTTTGACTCACATTCTACTCGGCTGAGGTAAATCCGTTCAAAAAAATAGGGCCGTTGGTATCTCGTGAATCACGTATAAAATATGTTTGAGTGGAGTTTACTGGTAAGGGAAATAGTGAAGTGGGTTTTTTTTCAATCAAAGTCATTTATCTCGCGAAACATTACTATATGGTTGAAATTTGAGGCTCTTTAGTGTTTACTACAGAGACATACGTAATTATACTGAAAGGGTGGGCCGCTGCTGCAAATACAGAGCTATGAATAAGAAAGCCTTCTCATTTTAACTAGTGTATCATGACTACGTAAATATCCCTAATTTTTTCGAAATTAATATATAACTGATGAGAATTTCCAAGGATCGATTGAATCGAATTGAATTGAAATTCCAGGCTAAATTTTTTTCGAAGAGTTTCATGCTCTCGAACGCTTAACTCATTTCAAGAAATTTATTCTAACAAAGAGACCATGATTTAAACCTTTTGCTCAAGACTGATGGTGATGTTTCCAGTGAATTTCCGGAAACCAGTATTTTGATGATGCTTTTGAAAATTTTATTGCTACATTATCTACATTGCTTGCTACATTATCTACATTATTTATGTACTGGTTGATCTACTCATTACAGTAACTCCTCGTTGCGGATCGCAATTGATCACGATTGAAGTGAAATTTAATCCGAATTATTATCCAGAAGGCAAATTCACCGACTGGATCGTTGTTGGCGTTTCAGGTGACTTCTGAGTTTTCATATTTCATTTATCCAGCTGCTGTAGTACTTTCGATATCATTAGTCATAGCATTCATTACGTGGCGACGTTAGGTCCGATTCTAGAAAGGTCGTCTGACTGCCACCTATCCAGGGTTTCTGATGCTCATGCGTCACGTAGAACTTCTCTCATTTGTGACATAGGACTGCTGTGCATTCGTGAGAATAAAACTAATCTTCTGCTGAATTCAAGAATTAAATGTCTATAGCTACAATTTTGTTAAGTAGCAAAGATTCGAGAGATTCTGGCAATATGCCTCGGGTGTTTCACCTGGGATTTTGGAAGATGCATAAGCAAAGGGCGATCCCGGACAGGAATATTTAACCCCAACCCCTCTAGTACGTTCAGCTTTTCCTCAAAAATTCAGGTCACTGTGGTAAGTGGGTTGTAGTGTAGAAGCCCCAACGAAGGCGGTCACGTTTAATAACCATGAGAAGAGTTATCGCAGTTGGAAATGGGCAACAGATCGTAAAATGCGTATTACTATCATTATCATGCCAGCAACGAGGGTTGCTTTTCAACTCTAAGATCTCAGAAAATTTTTTTTTGCCTGGCAATTTTGTATTTTAATTTCAATCCATACATACATCATGCATAAAAAACTCTAAACAAGTTTGATTTAGGCCGACCAGAATGTCGTCTACGTGGAAACGGCGAAACTCAATATGTAATAGAAATTGCAGTTTTTAATGATCCATGTCTAACACAAATGGTTTGTTATCCTACCAATTTATGTCTAAACTTGTTAATCTGGAACTTTTATCCATTCCCGCCCGATCCATTCGAAAATGTGATGGAAACACAAATACTTTGCCTACTTCGAAACAGTTTTGCCCTTTTTCAGCCTGCTCCAGGCGTTTTTCAAAATCGTATACGAATCGGACAGAATCCCGCTGTGATACTTCAAGGAGACCAGACCCTAACAGTTAAATGTGTATATGGTTTACCAGAAGTCGAAACCCTTCCATTACCGGTTATCAATCCTAATTTTAATATTGAAAAGTAAGTTTTCTCTTTACTATATAAATCACTGGAAGGACTAGTAAATGTGTAATTATTTTCAGTGGTGCCACATCGTCTGTTGGCCTACCATTCGGTGCTATCATACCCACCACTCACACAGTCACTGGCACGCATCCCCAACCTCCATCCGGAACAGGCTCCGGGAAGACGGGGACTTCCGCGATCGGTGTCTCTGAAACATCTCAGGTAGTTAGGGTTGAAATTTTTCTGTTGAAAAAATAGGTCAATATATAGAATAAAACTAAAAAAANAAAAAAAGTAGAAAAAATAATGTAAATTGAGTTTGTGATATTATATTTTCGATGGGTTCCTTGAATTTGTCACAAATAGGGAGTGAACAAATTCAATTCCCAAAAACTTTTTTATATCCTGTTTTTATATCCTCTTGAGAACGTCAAGCCCTGTAGTTGGAACGCACAAATGTACTGACTCAAACTTGGGATATCCTTAGACTTGCACATGGGATATGGTTCTGGTGGTTAGCCCATATATAAGTCAACACTATTAACCCAGACGAGTGGACGAAATAGGCGCTCAGAGGCATCTACGGTTATGGGTACAAGTTGAATGCACGGCGTGTCCGATGGAGGGACCGATAGATGCCGCGCGAATTGGATTTTGTCCATTAGGTCTGCGGTATTTCGAATTACTCGAATATATGAAATCGTTGATTCCCCGAGCATGCCAGCAGGTCCTTTTTCTTCGGATCGTGTTTATTTGTTTGCCTTTTTATTCCAAACCCTTTCTTGGAGTTTACACTACTATACTAGAGTAATACCCATCATAAGCATACCATATTACAACATATTATCATTACACTTCATTACACAATGTTGCAATACACCAGTAGAAGTCGTGACGTATATAGTATGTATGTAGTGTAGGTTTTGCGATAGCCCACAAAAGAAGGCAATGAGTAAATAAATTAGATCAGCACTAAACAACAAGTTTCACTTTTTAGAGTAATGACAAGTTCGTCGGTATCGACCCCTCCAATCTGAATAGCCAATTAGAAGAACTGCTCAAGCAACAGAATATCAATGCTAACTCGAGACAAGGAGGAGGTAGTTCAGGTTGTGTGGAATTACTCAACTGGCATTTTAAATATTTAGTAGACATGCCATGAAAACCAGCTCCGAGCCAGTTTCCACTTATTGTTGTACATTTTCCAGCTACCAATAGTCATCTGACGGATTTGTTGGATGGTCGGCAGCCGGGTCCGAACGCGATCATCCCCCAGTTGCCGTCACGCATCACAGATCGAATCGGAACAGAGGGATCGAAGAATATTAACGATATTAGTGATATTCAAGTGGATAATCGATCAGTGGACCTTCCAACGAGAACGACTGATGCGGCTACGACCGTAGAAAGGTACTCTAAATGGACTTCTGTAAATAACTTAAACTTTGCGAGTCAGAGCGGCACCTTTATTGGAATCAAGCTTGCCAGTTGAACTGCCTACTTTGCTACTTCTTCTTGAAATTGTAACGGCCATTGAATACAAATTGTACAACTAAGAGCAAATATATGAAGGAGAGCTAGAAAAAACCCTAACTCATGGCAGAAGATGGTAAATTAATCGGGTGTGGTGCAGTAGGATAGAAATTGTCGCGTCGCAGCGAGAGGGATGCCGCGCGCGAGGGAATGAAGCAGAATGCAGCAGCATGTGCGAAATGGAGGAACAAAAGAATTAACAGCATAACATGCCTAAAATAATGATCGCACATCGATTGAGCTGTATGAACAACGCTAGGGCTGTAATTACGGCGAAGCAAATGGTCCGCTACAGCCGCGTGCGGCGAATCGGTTACACAAAACCGATTCTACTGGTCTCTCCGAAACTAATCTAGGCGGCTCTGGGGAAGCTGAAGTGAGAGAGGAGAGAGGGCTGTCCGATACAAAATAGCCAACCTAGCAGACTAAACCCAGAAAAAGTAGCCGTGGGCTTGAGCTATTTAATCGGGACATTAATCTTGATGGAAAAAAGGATCACTCGTTGGGGGTATAGTTTAAGAGTGTTCCAAACCTCTCTCCGATTTTGAATTAATGTTGAATGTATGGCGCACTCAGTAGTGGATATAATGACAAAAACAGTTTGATCGTTATTTTTCCTTGTTGAGCTGCTGCGTCTGATTAGTATAGTAACTTAGTTCGAAATCACTTTTTTGTCTATGCTGAAACGATACACTTTTATTTATCCTAAAGTTACTGTACTTTACTTTTTACTTCCTTACAACCAGCTCTATAACGTTACAGTGCCGGTCCTGGAGCCCAACAGGGTCGTGGTCGTGCAAGTCCATCGAATCTTTCCGTTTGGCTGCTACCAGTCCTACTTGGAGCCGTAATATTAGCCTTATGCTTCCTTTGTTGCCTTTACGTCTGCTTGAGGAGACATCATGAGGCCAAGCAGAATCGTTCACGGCTACTCGTTGGAATACCAGCAGGTAACTGTCATCCTCTACACAAAATTCTAGAAAAATATATTGTTCAGAACAAGTTTCAAGCTACAGTAGCCAGACTATTTGAGCTGGAGCACTTTTTCCAACGCTTCATTTACAAAACCAGTTTTATTTCCAGGGACGACCCCCAACAAGACCGGCGCTCATCATCTTTGGTGGGGAGGTCGAGACGGGGCGAATCAGGGCGATCGGGTTAATTTCCCGTCAGAGTGGGTGCTTTTGTATGGATTTCGACACTTGTTCATACCCTTCCATCCATATATTTCAGGGGTCACATCAATTC